ATGAAAAAATAATCATAGAAATCTATGGTTCCGAGTTATTAGCATTTTATGGAAAAGAAGTAAAACACTTATGTTTCAGGAACCATCTAGTAAAAGAGGCCTAAACTTGGTGAGTGATCAGCATTCGATAAGATCTATGATCACACAAAATTAGAAATCCCTAGCTATCATGATTCTTATAGGAGGCCCGCTACTTTGAGGAGTACTGTAGTATACTTCCTTTGCTAGTTACGCCTCTTCAACGCCAGACGCATTACGTCTGTCTATAAATATGAAAGCAGTATAAGAGACGTACTCTTATTGATGTTTTAGGTCTAATTTATCTTTATTTAGTTCGATAACTTTGTCACCAAAAACGAATCAATATCTACGTGATCAATTAAAAAAAGTTACTCAAACACTACAATCATTAACATTAAATAGTACATCGAAAATCATGCGACAAATTTATTTACAATCATTAAATACATTTGTAATTGAAAAACGAAATTTAACTCAATTAGTAGCAGAAATGGCCAATTATACAAATTTAGCTATTATGAAAAAATTGGAAGCAATTCGAAATTTAGTGAATATTTCTGAATATACGTATAAACAACATTCAGAAACTCCAGTGCAAGAAAGAGAAGAAACATATAATTACATGAAGGTAAATGAAATATCTAAAAATTGTCCCACGCATTTATAAAAATTAAATTGTGTATATCTTACTATATTTTAGGATCATGGTTATTTGAGTACAAAATTCGTTGAAAATAAAACAGCCGAAAGTATAGCGGCTGAAGGAAATTCAACAACATCTAATCCAACACCTTCTACATCAACATCATCATTACCAACAATCACACAATTTGATAATGGACTTGGTGAAGGAACAGCCACGGCCGGAAGTACTTATACATCTACACAAGAACCAATTTCAACTAGTACAAATACAAATGAAGCACATTTAGCATCAAAAGAATCTGAAGGAATACCAAAAGAAGATGAATATGAGTAAACAAAATGTGAAAGAAAGACTGATCTCATTCTACAACTAGAATTTGTTTCAATATTTAGAGTATTGAGAAAACCATTAATTTTACAATTAAAGAAACATTTCGGAAATCAAATGGTTAATCTTACCCATAGTACAGTTCATATACCGACAATTATTTATGCAAAAAGTATGATCAACAGTAGTTTAATTTTATTTAAGGACAGTTAAACATTTTTCTAATGACTAATTATAGATAAAGAAATTTTGTTGAATGCAAATTGGTCTTATAATTTAAATCAAGCATTTATCGACAATTATAATCATGATCCAGAATTAACATGGCAATATTTTTGTTCTCAAACTGGCCTCTATCGCGTGTGGCCCGGTATAATCATAAATTACATGTATTTTCAATGATTTTTTTCATAATTATTTTGTACAGGTCATAAATGGGATTATCCAGAAGGCGATACCGATATGCTTGATCTATTTGACTGTCGTGTACAAAATTGGTACATTCGCGCCACATCATCACCAAGAGATGTAGTAATATTAATTGATACTAGTGGTTCTATGTGAGTTGTTCTAAGAGTGTCTAAAAAATTTAAAACATCAAAGAATACTCTTTTAAGGACTGGATTAAAAAAATCAATTGCAATACAAACAGTTGAAACTATACTGGTAGAGATAAACAATCTATTTCACATTCAATAAATTAAATATTTTTTTCAAATTTTAAGGATACATTGTCCGATGATGATTTTGTTCAAATATTAAGGGTATGTCTATATCATCTAACATAAATATGATATACTTTTTGTTTGTAGTTTCATGAAACTGTGGATTTTATTGATGATTGTTTTCGAAGTGGTCTTGTACAGGCAACAGTTGAAAATCGAGCAGTATGTATGTATAATGCATGAAAATCTTGTTAAATATTTTTATTTTTTAGAAATTTCGCGAATCAGTGAGTAAGATTGATACAAAAAATATTGCCAATTTTTCAAAAGCACTAGAAAAAGCATTTGACATATTGGATGAGGTATTTAATTGATTATATTTGGATTTAATGTTGTTCTATAGAATGTGATTTATTACAGGCGCGAACGAATATTTCAAGAACAGAAAATGCACGTCTACTTTGTCAATGTCATTATTTGACAACAGATAATTATACGGCAAGTGAACGAGCAGAATTCTGTCCATCTGATTATAACGGTGGGTGATGATGAAACTTTGATTAATAGTTAAAATTATTTTTATTATTCTATTTTTCAGTAACCTCGTATTCATCTGATGAAACACCATTTTTGGATAGTACAGGATGTAATAAAATGATAATGATTGTAACGGATGGTGCCACAGAAACAGCAATGAACGTTTTTCAAAATCGAAACTGGATACCAAATCAAGTTTCAACCTGCCATTCAACAGAAGTAAGATCTGTGATAAAAGACTATTTGTATCTGGTATCTGTTTTATATCTCTACCTCTAGACAAGGGTATTCACATACATGATTGGTCGAGAACTTGGAGATCCAAAACATATTCGTTGGATGTCATGTGCAAATAAAGGTATACATACATTCTTAAACTATTGAACAGATAATACTAAAAGATATATGAATGATGTACTTCTAGGTTACTTTGCTCACGTTTCCACATTAGAAGACATTCAAGAAAATGTTGAAGATTACATACCAGTGACAGCACGACCAATTGCAATGTACAAAGATCATGTTACTGTATGGAGTAGTGTATTTCTTGATGTGGAGGTTAGCTTTGAATATATTTCTCTCAAATAGTGAATTTTCATCTACATTTTTGTTTCTTAGCGTAATGAACCATTAAAAAGTTACAAATGGTTTCCATTTAAATTTCCAAATTTTTCGTTATCGATGGAAGAATTCAAAAACAGAACAAAGGTTAATGAACTTATTTTTTATCTTTTGAATACTTTAAAAATTAAGCTATCATTTTTGTATTATAGCCCATGAACTTGATGATCTCAGTTGCCCAACCTGTGTTAAATTATCCAAGACATGTAAATTGAAAACTCACTGCTGAATAAAATCAATGAATTCATTCATTTTGTTTAGTCAATAGAAGATGGTATTTTATTGGGTGCTGTTGGAGCAGATATTCCAGTTAAATTACTACAAGAATTTTCACCAAAATATAGGGTATGTTCATAATTCAGCGTATAAACAAAATTAATTAACTTTATCTTGATTTTTAGCTTGGTGTTCATGCGTATTCATTTATGATCAATCACAATGGTTATCTCATGTTTCATCCAGATTTACGACCAGTGGTGAGTTTTTTGCTACGCATAATACTAGAGAAAAAGTATGTCACCCGCTCAACAACAATTTAAAAGCCTCATTTTGCACCATGATTGAATATATCGCCCTACCCTTATAAGAAAAAACTATTTATCACCCATCATAAGAAAACGCTTTATTTCAACTATCTACCATACGACTGACGTGTCTGGCCTATTATTAATCATGGAGTTATAGTACTAGGTCATTTTTGAAATTTAACATTTTCCCGAAAAAACTCGTTACTCAGTTAGAAAACAGTGTTTTAGTTTCTAGATTTTTAGAAACACTCTATATGTACTACATGTAGATAGTTTCCCACAAAAGTAAAGATCTGGACTACTGAACGGTTCAGAAATTCTAGCATAAGTAAGTGCTTACTGATGACGATACAGCGAAACTCAGAATTAAGTTCATAACTCGTACTTACCTCAAAATAATATCTGACAACAACTAAGAGCCATCATATGCAAATAAGTCCACAGCATCTTATGTAGTTATTGAATAGTAGATAAAAACTCTACCTCTGTCCTGTCCCTATCCTACTTTTTCAACTATATTTTAAATGTAAATTTTATAACCTTGGTTGTTTTACAATCTGAAACGATACTCTGTTTTCTAACTGAGTAATAAGTTTTTTCGAGAAAATGTTAAATTTCAAAAATGACCTAGTACTATAACTCTATGACTAATGATAAGCTAGACACGTCATTCGTATGGTAGATAGAGTCATGCGGGTGTGAGTTTTTCGAACCCGATCCGGTCTCGTAGGTTTGAAACCCGTCCTGAGCCCGCCAGAAGTTTTTTGGGATCCCGATCTCGATTTTTCCAAACTAAAACTCGCCCCAAACCTGCACGACCCGAAAATTTCTTTTAGTGAAGTTCCCTCTTTTATTTCTGCATTAGTAAATCTCTACACGTAGATGTTCTGCTTTTTTCACAGCCAAGAAGGAGAAACTCAATCAAAGTGATGGTAGTTTTAATGACAGTGAAAATTAAAAGACTTGCGGAAATTTTTTTTCTATTACTATTTTTGTGATAAACGTTTAGCAGGCTCAGAAACATTATCTCTTTGTTATTTTTGTCTTTTGAATAAAAAATAATGCAATGTTTGAAGAAAGAACCTGATCCCGATCTCGTTCCGATGAATTCAAACCCGGATCGAACCCAAACCGGCGGGATCGGGTTAAACCCACAGGATTCTAATGGTAGATAAGCTGAAATGAAGCGCTGTCTTATTATGGGTGATAAATAGTTTTTCTTATATGGGCAGGGCGATATATTCAATCACAGTGCAAAATGGTATAGAGGATCTACCTCCATTACAGCAGCCAAGCAGTAAAGTCAACAATGGGATGTAAAACCTTACGATCAGTATTAGTAGGTAGCTTTTTAGAGGGCGATATACTCTTGTCTAGCATTATATTAAGTTTACTTTGTCTGAAACGCACTTTTGTTTTACTAGCTTGGTGCATATCGGAAGCGTAGTTATCATTCAATCGATTTAGACATGGTAGAAATACCGCACAATCTAACTAACTTTGTACATGTAAGTATCTAACAAGATAGAATTGTATTTGTAATTAAGCTATTCACATTTAAAACTTTCAGCCTCTACCGCAAAGCAGTATTCAAAAAGTAAGAGATTTATTAAACCGAAATATGAAATAGTATGATGACATTTTTTTGTCTTTATATATAGATTCGGAAAGAGATGATACAATCAGTTGAAAATAATTTTATAGCCGAAATAAAAAGACATTTTGACGATATGGTAGGATTTTTACTATCAAATGTAAAGCATCGGTTCAACTTTCGGTTATACATCTTCTTAGCGTCGAGTAGAAGAAACAAATCAAAGTTATTATTATTCAACATTAGGTGATAAAGAGTCAAATCCGTTCAGGTATACAAACTTTATCAACAGTTTTACATATTTTAAATCATCTATTTTTTTGGTCTAGTTTGGGTATTGCTATTCGATTACCTTACGGTGAATATGATATTAGAACAAAAGACCCTGATACAGAAAAAACTCAAATAGGTACAACTTATTATTATTATTATTATTCTCCGATTATATTTTTGGTTCATGCTGTATTTTCTTTAGCTCTTCGATTTATTCGTAAACCAAATGTTCGTATTGCAGATTGGATTTATTGTAATTCAACAGCTGAAGATAATGTTGGTGATACAGAAGAATCATTTCGAAATTATTTACAAGAAAAAATTGACACAAAAAAGCTTGTGTCGTGTAAATAGCGAAAAACAACCTTTTAATATAAAACCACAATATTTCATATATGTTTCTAGGTCCATATAATGCTAGTAAACGATTAATCAATATGATGATTGAAGAATTGTTTATTATGAGTAAATTTGAAAACTGGACAATAAGTGGTACATTTAATTCAAATAACAATAGTATTAAACCAAACATATATGCTGCTTATGAAGAATTTCAACAGTATAAACACGAAAATCATTTACATTGGCTCTTTCTTGGTACACGTTCGGGTATAACCGCCTATTGGAAAATGTATCATTTAGCTAACGTAGATCATATAAGGTACGTTTAAAGAACAATTAGGTCATTGTTCACTAGATATGTTATATCACTTAATCTTATAGGCAATTTGGTGATGCCAATCCAAATTCAATTGAATCGACGTATTATGAACGAACAATTGATGCTACATATAAATACGGCGCTGATCATATCAAAGGAAATCATCATGTCTATTCACTATTTCATGGTGTTAATCATATTTCGGCAACAAATACGCGTAGGTTCTAATTTCTTATAATTCGACCATTTTCGATAGAAATATTAATTACTGATAAACAGTACTAATCATTGAGTAGTTGATTTTAATTGCTTAAACAAACAGTATCATGTTCTTTATTCTAGAAAATGAATCAAATTCTTCAGGTAAACTCGTTGTATAGATGTAAAAGTTATATATATATATAGTGTCCTGTGTTGTACACATAAAAACATAGTGTCGAAGAATATAAATTCATTTTTTGTTAATCCTTTTATAATCAATCTAAAGGAACTACATAGCCTATATATGTTTGTATACAAATTATGCTTTTTTAATATTTTATTTTATTCATCAGTTTTTGCTAACTATTCTATTCAGTGATAAATAAAGTATCGTATTATAGATACCACATCGCTTCCAACATCGCAAATGTATTTGGTTATAACAAGCGGAATATGGATGAATAAATCAAGTAAAATTAACCAACCAGAAAATGAAACAGCCAGACATGTACCATTTGGTGTATTTGGTGTCATGCTACCTTATACAACTGTTCGTTCAACACATTTTTCTGATCTTTGCGTAAGTAGAATAGCATATACCGTTAACTATTTGAAGTGATAGTTCAAAACTCATTTTAAGGCTAAACTTGATTCTGGCATATGTTATATAATTGATGAACATGGTTACATTATGTTTATTAGTCAACCAGGCGTAATTGATCGAATTGTAAGTATTGTGTTGTTGGAACATAAATTATCATCTTGCATTTGTGTCTTGTCTTAGAATGACATTGGAAAGTTCTTTGGTGAATTCGAAGGAGCATTATTGAAAGAATTCGAACACAAAGGAATATTTAAAAAGTAAGAATATTTGACTTAAAAATAAATTAATAAAATGACAAAATTTTTCGTTGTATTTAAGTAAATCCATGGTCGATTTTCAAGGTGTATGTTTAAGACGTCATAAATCAAATGGGAAAAGTTCAGCCGGACTATTTCGTGGAGTATGTTAGACTAGAATTAATAATAATATAGCACTAACCAATAATGTATGTCGTCTTTTTAATAGATATTACGAACATCGATAATGTTTTTCTACAACATTATCAATTATATTGCTTTGTAAGTTAGTCTTTGTAATATATGACATTGATAAAAGTCAATAGGGGTTTTTTATTCAGATTTTTGGTTCATTGGCCAAATTATTCACTAGGAACTGAACAAGACACTCAAGATAATACTTTGACGACCACAAATACTCCGCCAGCAGAGGAATCTTACGTAAAAGGTATGAGTCTATTTAAAATTTTGTCACTCTGAATAATTATCGAAATTTTCTAACATTTTTTAGAAAGTTTAAGTAACATTCTTCTTGATCATATTGATTTTCGTCGACCAATTGTTGATTATAAAAATTTAAATTATTCAAAAGAAGATGATGCGGTTGACAAAATACCCGAATCATGTATTGAGAAATTTAGATTGTGGGTATCAACATGGAAAGGATGGGAAGGTGAATTGCCATCCAAAGAGAATGGTATTACATGGGAAGAAGTTGAAAAAGCCAACACAAAAACAGGTTGGGTAAAATGTACAGAAGTGTCACAAGAACAAATATTATCGTCAATTAACATCGAAAATGCATCCAATAGTACTACCAATGAGACTTCAAACATTCGATCAACATCAACAGTGTCGGATTTCAGCACTACATACGCAACTACACACGATGAATTATTTCCGTATGTATTTCGTTTGTTTTGTCTCTATACGAAACACAGAGATTATTTTTTATCTGATTTATTTTTCAGCTATTCTGTTTCAAAAATTCCCAATTCAAATTTATTAATGGTTTATGTTAATCATTCAAAATCATATTGTGAAAAATTACTCATTAAGCGTGAACCCGTTGAATTTAAACATGATGAACGATGCATTCGACTAAAAACAACACCATATCGTGAACGACCACATAAATGTTTTTTTGTACACGATGAAGAGAATAAAACAGAATTTCCAAAATGTGATCGTTGCTCGAAACAATTTGTTACTATTCGAATTCTTTCTCTTATCATATTGACAAATTTCATATTCAAATACTATATAAATAGGACGTAAAATTAATAATCAATACGTAAATATTTCTTTTGTAATGCAATAACTTGTTTCATATTTTTCTCTATATTTTTTCGTGACACTCACAAAATTACATTACTGATAACGCCCGGTGTATGTGATTTTTGTTTAACGTTATTTTTTTCTGTTGTTCATAGTTATTATTTGTACATAACTATACCGTCACGTGACTGTTTTTTTATAAAATTTGTATTTTACACACGCTTTGTTAACTTTTAATATTTTATAATAGGGCCATAAAGTCTTTTACGTTCAGAAGTCAGCTCAAAGTAATTGCGTGCTCTTACGATGATATAATAAATACTGACTCTATATCCGGAAGTCAGATTCATGTAAACTTTTCACTACTTTCACAAATAAATTCAAGACTATATATGACAGAAGTAAAATATTTCTAGCAAGGTTCATTTCAAAAGCATTTACATTAATTCCGCAATTTTTCGAACAGTATGTACAATAATTGACCACAAAGATGTATTTTCTTATGCCTCATGAACATCCGTTTATCAACGATCTACCGGAAGGATGATCATCTCGCTATATGACTTGTTGGCAACAATCAAATAGAAGCTATCTCGAATCAATATTAAAAATTCTTAATGAGTGAATTTTACAAATTTATTTTTGTTTCTGTCTGTATTTACATCCGTTTTTGTTCTCTCTCATAGCGTAAGTATAGCCAGAGGCAAGAAGGCGTAACTAGTGAAAACAAAGCAATAACAATAAATAGATAAAAATAAAATAAAAATATATTAATCACAAATATGAGCAAAAAAGAAAACTTAATCAGACAAAAGAAAGAAAAATATATCCATGTCTGTATTCGAATATTTCACAGATAAAGCAAAGAAAATTAAAATTATAAAGAGATATTACTCATGTATCCGTTTGCGCTTGAGAAGAACGCATTCGGACAGGTGGTTTTGCACTAAAACACGCTTCGTAAAAAACTGCTTTGCTGTTTTTATAGCAGCAAAAACTCCGCAGTATTTAAGCGCACTAACTAATTATTGCTGATTTGCATAGAACTAGTAATATGGTGAATAAAATGACTTTAGCATCATCTAAAGTTTCTGTTAAAAGTAATTATGAACATATTAGTTGAACAAAATTATTACTAATATAAAAAACCAGTGATGACAACAATATGCTGATATCCCTAACATGTCTTAAACCCTTATACCGATTTCAGAACTAGTCCTCAGAAATGCTACTTCGCTATCAGATGGCCTGTTTATTAAAGGAATAGAAAAATGGGAGAGAAAAACGTTTGAATTTGTGTTGAAAAACTGGTATTATTTTTATATGACTTATGTCTCCAAAATAGGAGTGAGTGTTTTTTTGTTTGTTTTTTTTAAAAAATAAAAAGACTTCAATTTCACGCTTTTTTATTGCGTTTACTCCATGAAATTATGGAGATGTATACTCATGTTCTCGATTTTTTATAGATTACGCGTAGTAGACTCGTTACGGCATAATAAAATCGTAACCTCGCTAGAAATGGCGCCCATACTTATCATCGTAATTACGCGTCATTACGTCGTAATTCGATCGTAATTTAAAATATGGTTAGGTACAAATATGCGATCTGTGTCTGTGCTCGAAACACACTTTTTGTTAAAGATTACTCTACTAGCCGTTATCCACCTCCGTTTCTCAATATTTTAATGTGTAGCTAAAAGTGACATGATAATTTTCATTAAATATCTTCTTGTTGGCATTCAATATCCTTTTCGAAATCGTTCTTTTAGTAAGATCCAATTTTTTGAGCAAGTGATCATCATTTACTTCGATCTGCAGAGCTCTCTGAGCTAATAGACGTGAAAATTACTTACATATATTACATCTATAGAGAATTCATTTCTGAACATACAGCCTACACTTGTTTTCGCTCTAAGGCACTTTTTGTTAAAATTCAATAAGACCAAATTAAAGATGCATAGATATGATGGCACGATTAGTAACAACAAACCATATTAAAAATATCCATCATGTTCAGCTCTATCCATAGAACATATTACAATTAGTAACTTTTCTTATCTGCCGAGATCCATTTATTATGACTATCTATTTTTTTTCACTACAATAGATAGAATTAATGCGGCATAAAATTGCATATGCGAGAATACATTAAACCATTGTTCGGCAGGTGTCAAGTGCTGAATTAATGATCTATCGATATATTTAGTAACAATAATCAAAAAGTACTCTATGCTTCTGTAAATAGCTGCCTATTTCAATTTCTACTAGAACAAATCAACATTTTAATTTCTTCTGTAAGGTGGAATTAAAATTTACTACTACACCCAATGATAAATAGAAAAAATGACAGAAAAAAAAATAACAGGAGAAGAAAGAAACGAAGAGATAGCCAAATGCGCTACTATTTTAAATGCATAAAATACGGTACAATATTTTTCTTATGATTACTAACATCTCCATTATCGAACTTTTTTATGAAAAACTAGTTTTACATAAACAAAATTTAAAAGAAAATCTCATAATAAATTTGTAAATTAAACAAAATGCGTATGCGAATATTGTGTTATCATTAAAAGACAGATGGGGAATGGATTAGTATAAATTTTGGCTTTATAAATATTTTAAAAAATTAGTTAATATTAGCGAATAACAAGTTGTCTATGGTATCAAAATAATTATTAAAGATGACAGCAATATCATCAGATTTATCAAAACGTTTTTTTAGTGACCTGCATGACTTTGATTCATTCACATTATCAACCACAATGGAATTATGTTGCTATCGGCAAAGTTACAAAAATGTGTAATAGTAAAGGTCTATGTTCACAAAACAATGTTATCTATATGAAAGAAAAATTTACTAGAAATAATGTTTGTCTATACTCTGAGTAATAGGTTGTTCTCTATTTTCTTCTAGCAGAATTAAAATTTTAATTTTCTCTAGAAAGAAATGAAACGAGTGATTATAGTTTAACCTCCCAGAAGAGAATTTAAAATTCCCTTAGATTTCAATTTTCTACACAACATTTCCAATCGATCTTTTAACCTTCAAAGGTGGCACTTTATCAAACTATTATTTTATAACAAAAACAGACATAAGACAGTACAAAAAAGAAGTAGAATATAATAGTATCTAGATAGACTATTTGCATTTGAAACTAAAACCTTATAACCAAACAAATCCATCTTTCGTCTATTATACAAGAAATCTTTCTGTGTTTCTGGAACAAATGACCGAATTTGAGTAAATCGTTGTTGTATCGACTTTAATGCGTTTTCGATCAGTTTTGTTTTGAATAATTTTTGATTTTTATCACTTTTAAGACCTAAAATTGAATATAGAATGGTTAGAGTTAAATGTGTTTTGTAGAAAATGATAAAATACTCATACTTACGACATGAGCCAAATGGTAGAACATCACAGACTAATAAACTATTGATACATATACATAATACACAATCTGTTTCAATTGTATGATATTGTTTTAATACTGCACAGCTAGAATGTACATATGTCTCACAATATCGACCGGTGAAGGCTCTAAAATAAGAACAAAAGAAAAATAGCATATTACTACTAATTACTAATTTTTGAATGTAATCCCTGTTAAATGTATTTGATACAAGCACTTGATTTTATTTGTCGAGTATCTGACCAAGTTTCATCACTTAATCAGCACTTGAACAAGAACTTGGCAAGCGTTTTACTTCCCAAGTTCCTGTCTAAGTATCGTCACTTGCTTCAGTCAAGTACATGGACGAGTCAATCATTCTTTTATTTTTCATTAACCAGTTGTATAGAAACGTCACAACATCAATTAGTATAAATTTAGAAAATAAATTTCGATATTTGTAGTGAGTTGAACAAACTTGGTAGCCATGGATGCGTTTGCTCTTCGAAAGTGGCGAGAGTATGACTGCAGAATATGTACCGAATACAGAATAAAGATAAATGGAACAAGTGCTTGGCCGATGTTTCAAGTAAATTTACTTGCATTGGGTCGGTCAAGTGCATGCCAAGTAAATTTACTTGAAATCCACAGGTACATGGCTCAAGTACATTTACTAGGGATGGTATCAACTCTTACATTGGACATGCACAAAATGCACCCAGAATACATGTTCCACCATTTTCACAATTACATGTCGATTCCATATTCGTCAATGAATCTAAATAATCGAAAGTATTTAAATCAGTTTAACAAATGATGTTAAGCTCATGGGAATCTTACCTGAACCTTTGAAAACATAACTTGCACGCAATGTTCTAGAATAGAAATGATCAGTTATTAGACAGAACTTTTTTTGTTATACATCATTTGATACAGTTTGACGAGCCAAGTCCGAATATGGTATTTCTTTTGATTGAAATACTCTAATAACAGGGAAACGTGAAATTTATTGTCAGAAATCTTACTTTTTAAAAAGTCTATAAAGAAATTTCAGAAACAATTAATTTATACTCAAAATTGTTTTTCAGTTACAGTGGGGCAATATTTCTCGATCGGTCAAGTAACAAAGGAGTGACTCTGCGAGAATCAGCGTACAAATCAAGAATGCATTCTGCGTGACAAGAAAATAATTACCGTTTATCATATTCGCAGTTCATACTTTACCTAAGTAGCATTAACGTAAACCACAGTTCAACAAACATAATAATAAAGAGTAGAAAGTAAATCACTGTTTCAAACACATAAAAATTGTACATTATGCTTGATCTTTATTTTTCAAGATAATATCGTTTATTTTTCAAACATGGTATTTCCAGCAATATGAGAAAATAGAGGTGAGTTGTACGAAAAACAACGTTCTACTAATTGACGAATTTTATTCTGATTAACACATCGTTAATCTCATTCATTCTCTTTTTTTCGAACAATCGTTTCGTTTGTATGTTAGTTAATTGAACTTTAAAACAATATTTGTATGTAACGTCAAATTGAACAAAAAAAATGTCAAACCGCTATAATTAGTACCTATAATTCAGAGAATCATATGACAATTATCAGCACATATATACTTTCTTCTTCGCTCGCTCGACTACACACAAAAAAAGACACCGCACGAGTCTATAATCACTAAATACGTAACATGTAATTGAATTGTACATGGAAAGAAAAACGTAAAATAAAAAGTCAAATGAGAAAAATTTATTTGACAGAATGGCTGGCGCCTCAGGGTGGGTATGCATCAGAACAGATTACGTATGCCAATGTTTATCGGTAAATTAAATAGTTACAGTTCAGTTTTTTTACAAAATTTTTTGTGTACGCGAACATCAACGATTATTTAGCAGCACATTAAAGATTTCATTTTGATTATAAGTGAGAATATATAAGTAATAAGTCCACTAATTCGAAATCTAACGCTCACGCAATTCTAGTATCAAAAATTTATTTACTGCTTGATTGTAATTAAGATATTAGCAAAAGCAAATCAATTTTATTAGGTAAAAAAATAAATATTCAAAAGATCACATAATTAAACAAAAAAGAAAACTTTTTGAATAACGTAATGGACTAAACACTGAACTAAACTAATCGCAAATCACTCAGTCATGCTATGGGACTAGTTTACAAAGAATCTGGCTAAAACAAACAGCGACTAATCAACCAAATTTTGCATAGAGAATGATCGCTGTAGTCTAAGTACTTTTCAAAGATCACATATCTAAGAAGAGTAATGTCTAACCAATTAAGTATTACAATTTCCGGATCTGTATGAGAAAAGATCTGAAATTCCTTCTAACGGGTGGCGCATAATAAACGGGACACTTTTGTTCTTTATCTTTAAGCCACTTCCGAATGATCTAAAAATCTGGTTCTAGTCTCATTCGATAGAGAATTGAATTCTCTACAGAACATGCTTTTTGAATCTCTGATAGCATTTTTTTCGTTTGAGCACCACTCAAAATACTGAATAGTGCTAAATTCTCGAACTGCGACGTGCTTTTGTCATATGCTTTTTTGAGATTCTTAGCCCATTGTCTGAGGTTCAATAGTTACTTTTTCTAGGTAGAAAGATAGAG